TGGTACCATTTCATTAGTCGTTGGACTTAATCCCATAGGTTGGACAACAACATTCATATGGACCTAGCAGGTTTTTGTCGAACTCCACCAAGAAGCCTGATGGCGTCGCACCTCATTGAGGTCGGTGATCTATTTACTAGGTCTGAAAATTAAATTTTCAGTTGCTAACATCTAATAATACTAACTTACTAACTATTATTCTTATCTCAAAAAAAAAAAAAGGTTTTTGCCTACCACCTACATGCCACCTCACCATTATAAAAGCGAGATTTCAACACAAACCCCATGGTAATTTCAATTTAAACTCTCCTTTCCTTCTTCCTTTCATTTGCCCCAACTTACCCTTGCTAGATTCCAGTTTACTTAAGCGTCAAAGGATGTATGCCAAAAAAAAACCTCCAATGGCCGTCCTAACGAACTTTCTTTTTGTTTCCGCACAGGTCAATCTTTCCACAAGATTGCAAGCTTTTCGACGAAGCTCAAAACCCAACATTAGATACAATCTTGACTTGATTTTCTCTTTGGGATTTCCAACAAACATAGGAAAAGTGATACACTATAATACAAATTGAATCAAAAGATAAGAAAATTAGATTGGAGATATATAATTCAAAACAGATGCGAAGAGGTTTTATAAGATACTTCACTTGGTTTAGAAAAAAAAATATTTAATTTTAATTTGAATATTCAAGAGTAATTTTAATTTATATAGATCAAACTATGCAATAAATACTAAATATAAATACCAATAACTTATTGGTTCGAGTCAAAATAGTTTAGTTCTTTTTAAATAATGTTTTAAATTTAAATCTTATAAATAAATAAACAAGATATTGAAAGAGTTTCTTTTTTTATTGAATTTAATACAACTTGATTTTAAATTAATTGGTGTCCAATGTAACTTCTAAATATCAAAGGTTTAGTAAAAAAAAAAAAATACTAGATACAAATTTATTAGGAAAGCAACCTAAATTGCGTTATTCTGCTTCTTGAACAAGATTGTACATTGCAATTCATACATGAAACATAAGGCCAAAAGGCCCACAGATGTTGGTTGCGCTACTTATCCGATGGAAGACTTTCAAATATATGCTTTTCAAACAGAAACACTATCAAATACAACATTAAGGCCTACAAAAAGCCAAATGAGTGACAGGAATTCAATGCCTTCTCCTAACTGCTTAACATGACTAATGTGCTGACTTGAAATTGCTGCATAGACAAGCATTTCTATCCAGACATCCCTAATGAGCTCCCATTTATTTTTTGATTTCTTTAAAAGTCTGGCTAGTTTAGACACATCTTTCTGTAGGATGTCTTCGAATGTTGTCTCCCTGCTTAAAAAAAATAAATTTAGAAAGAAACAAAACTAATTTAATTCTAATTTTATAATGCCATGAAAATAAGAACTTAAAATCATCAAATCCAGATCCTTTGCACACATTATCTAGATTAGAAAGTAAAGTGAAAACATCATTTCTTACATCATTTGCAGGAGACACATCTTCCTATAGGTTTTCCATTGTTGACTCAACGTAACTTTTTAAAAGAATGAATTTTAGAAAGAAACAAAACTATACTTTAATTTTAATTTTCTAATTCTATGAAAATAAGAAATTAAAAACGTATCAAACCTGGATTCAAGGTCTTCTTCGTGAACATTATCTGGAACTAATGCGGAAGGCGTGGCTTCAAGGTCTTCTTCATGAACTGGAACTAATTTGGAAGCTGCATCTGTTAATGTAGTTGCAGAACGCAAAAGTTCTTTGAGCTTGTCATAAGTATGATCAAGCCAAAAACTCCTGCTGTGGTCGGGCAAAATCAAGGTAGGACACATGGCCAGCAAATACATCATGTAATCTGATACTTCTTTACTGATTTTCACGGCTAAGTGGCAAACATTGGCTTCATCATCATCATGATCCTTTTGTAAGTAGCAAACACTTGTGGCAATATGCCATACTATGATGCTATAATCAAAGTCCAGTTCAATGCTCCAATGTAAATTATCAAATTGCTTCGCTTTTTATAGTGCATTCTTTCCCCTTGAAGGCTGGAAGGAATTGCTAAGTATGAACCAAGTAACAGGGTGCCAGAAATTCTCTATATTCTTTAAATAACTTGAAACTTGAACAAACTTAGTGAACCTGTATTTGTGCCACATTTCAATAATATAACCGTCACTGGTGATATTTCGTAGAATGCAGTTCACCTTCTTTTTCTTGTAAAGCCAACAATATTCTAACAGATCAAATTGACCAATGTGTTCTGACCATCTTTTACTTGGACGCAATAAGTGAGAGAAACACTTCAAAGTGGCCTTAAACATTTTGCGTACCAACAAATTATGATGAAATTCCGCAACAAGAATTGCCCAATCAGAAGAAAGCATCACCCATGCTGCATAAAGTTCCAGTGTAATAGTTCCAGCCAATAAGACGCCCGTTATGACAAGATCAACTCTTGAGAAATGGAATTTTGGCTCATTAATGATGCTGATAAAGAAGAGCAGTAGAACTGAAAGGGAGCTTGCGAAACTGGTGAGGCGCAACAAGCATCCTAACTTGGTGTAAATCAGAACAACTTTGGTGTAAACAACATCAAATATAAATTCTAGTTCAACAGAAAAAATGTCAAAAAGATTACTCTGGGGCTTTTCAAAAATATCATTAACTATCCTGAAAGGGACATAAAGGTCATCTTCACCTGTAGTTTCCTCGACATAAGTTTTTATCCTTAGTTTAGTATACGAAACAGTACTATGGGAAGAGAGGTAATCATTGACATCAGGTCTCATAATTGTAAACAATAGATAACCTACCAACACAGCTGGGTTTTCCATCGGAAGGTGATTAAGGGTTTGATTCCAATTGAAATGGGAGCGACTTTGAAAATTAAAGATACTAGAAATGACTGATTTTGTTTTCTGTGAGTTATTCAGCTTGAGACACAATATCTTCTCTACATATTTAGTAATTCCAGCTAAGATCAGAGGGAAACTCAAAAACGAGAGCCAAGTAAAGGTCCACGTCAAACAAATGACATAAATGACAAAAATGACTTTGACAAGAAGGATGAAGAGGTGCCTAATCCAAAGCTTGTTGTCTTCGAAGGAATAAGCTGTGATGGTGTCAGGGCCACCAAGATGTAGCAAGAGTAAAGGAGCCCAGTTTGCTCTTAAGGCGTTGGTGGCTGGAGATTCTGTATAGGAACCAGAAAGCTTGCCCAGAGTAGCAAGGGCAATCCAGTCGGCTCCTAAGAAGGATAACCATAGAATGGTTTTGAAGAAAGGATTAATTTTGTATTTCCTAATCTTACCTAAGACAGAGAGGACAATTTGTAAGGTAAGACTAAGAAGAACCATTCCCCTCACATCCCATTTCTCCCACGCTTCCAGCAGCAATGTTGAAAATGCACTCACAATTGAGCTTGACTTCCCGCTGTTTATAAATAAAATAAATAAATATATATAAATTGTATTGAAAAAAATTAAAGATAGTCTCTTCAAAAAATAAATAAATATACTTTTCCAAGAAACAAAATCAAATTATGTATGAGAGAAAATGACAAAAGTATTGCTGCTTAGGTAGAAAGTGCTGGATGATGAATTATATTGCACTAATATAAAAATTTGGAATTAAATTAAATTAAAAAGTAAGCAGCCTTTTTTAGAATACTGTATTTGACCTAATAATGATTTAAATATTTTAGTGGTAATTTCTTTTTAGTAAAAATAAGAGATCTTTAGTTCAAATCATACAATATGCAGATGGTGTGGGTTAAAGAGATGAGAAAGAGTTGTTTTTCATTATATAATTCAAAATCTAAAAAAAAAAAAAAATTGCATTAGACCCAAACTTCATATTTTGTAGCAAAAAAATATCTTTCAATTATTCAAACACGTATTATAGCTAGCTTATACATATCCAATGACAACAATATGTAACAAAATTTACATTTTATTAATTTAAAATCTGATCTAAATATGATATATGAGAATAGAAATTTTTTCATTGCATGATTAAAAATTAGCTAGCAAGTGGACTTACCTCCCAGCCATCTCTGATATTTCTGGGCAATGAACCAGAAAGGTAACGGCCTTCTGGAAATTTTTAATTTCTTGTCTAGTGCCTTAATTAATTTCTAAAGAACTGAGAGAGAAGAGTGTGTTTTGGTTTTAATTTGATGAGCTCTGAGGAGAATGAGATCAATTATATACCATATATATAAATACAAGACTTAAAAGACTGAGAGCACTTTAATAAGTTATTCTAAACTTGTCACTAAGGCAATGAAATTATATATTGTACTTACATATTCTTATTCTTTGCTTCAGCATCCATGTATATTAAAAAATTAAAAGTGCAAATTAGAAAAATAAAAAGTAAAAAAAGCATCGGAATTGATTTACCAATAAGAAAAGAATATTGACCTGAACTTTGAAGAGTATTGTTCAAGAGGGCAATTGAGAGCTTTCTAACGATCCTACTGCATGATATGTTCAAGTTTTGAAATTTAGATAGCTCTATGTAATAATACACATCAGTGATTATTTCATTAACCAGTGTAAATTACCTTAAAAAATTCTTTTAATGGCTGAAAAAGTTTAGCCAAGACAACTCACATCGGTAAATTAAGTTCCAGTAACGTGATTTCAATTACCTTGCTAAGTGTAAAACTAGCATTAATTACATATGTTTACTATTTAACTATTTAGCATTTTAAGCCACATTGGTGGATTTATATATCATCAACATGTCTAAATACATTGTTGATGCTTGTTGAAGTTCTGCGCGCCTTCTAGTAGTGAATGTCAGGGTGCCAGGCCACGAAGATGTAGCAAGAGTATAAGAGCCCAATATGCTTTTAAAATGTTGGTGGTCGGAGATTCTGTATAGGAATTGGAAAGCTTGCCCAAAGTAGCACTGATAATCCATAGAATGGTTTTAGAGAAAAGGTTGATTGTGTATTTCATATACGTCTACCTAAGATAAAAAGGACGATTTGAAAGGTGAGACTAAAAATAACCATTCCCCTCACATCTCATTTCTCTCATTTCCCCAGACTTTCAACAACAATGTTGAAAATGAACTCGCAATTGAAATTGACTTTGCACTATTTATATAATAAATAAATATGAAAAGAGGTCCATTTATATAAAAGTTTTACATTGCATATTTATATATATGTAATCTTGATTATTTATCTTTTTATTTTTAATGATTACGATTTATCATAATTTTTTAAATAAACATGCATAATTTTAATTTTTCAACTTCTAATATACGCATATTTTTCGTCCTTTAATTGAAAATTAAGGAATTAAAAATGTGCAAATTTAGGTAAACTTAATGGATTAACTGTTGAAAAATTAAAAAAATATATTTTTCATAGTTAAAGGATAAAAAAAATACAAAAAAAAGTTCAGAGATTATGCAAAATTTGAAAGTTGAGGAACCAAAATTAACATTTAACTTTTATTTTATTTTTTTAAAAAAATTGCATTTAACCTACCTTCAGCTTTTGTTCTTCAGCTTTTGTTGTAAAAGGTATCTTTCGGAGGCTCAATTTGCAGCAGGGAAAACAG